ATAATAGCTGGTTGTATCATGATGTCTGTTGTCATCATGACGTCAGCCGCGGGCTACACTACATGTACGCGGGCAAGCAAAAACGCTCGGAACCAGTTCACGCTGTAGCGCGTTATACCTGGAGCAAATGAGGGCATTGTACACAGGTTGGACAATAGTGTTATAGCCATCGAATAAAATTGAAAATGAAAAATCGGTAAAAATTTTCCTAAATTTTAAAAAGAAATTTTTCCTAACATTTTTCCTAAATTTTTCCTAAATTTTTCCTTGAGAGTATCCTTAAACATGCGATAGCCGGCCTCCCTAGCGTACAGCCGCTGATAAACGCTATATGCTAGGCAGGGCAACGTCGGTAATCGACCAGCTCGCCCCACTCCTGCGCGTCACGCACGCCACACGTGGCCCATGCACACACTCGGTGGTGAATTTCAGAAAATCAAATACAGCGTTACACGTTTACACGACTTTACTTACACTCTTACGCTACTGCTATTACCATCAGGTGTAAATAATAAGTAATGAATAATTCTAGTATTAAATCCTGTTGACAGTAATAGTTATATATATATAATATATATATATAGAGAGAGAGAGAGAGAGAGAGAGACGAGGCGAAAAGAGAGAGCGGAAAGAGAGAGAGAGAGAAGAGAGAGAGCAGAGAGAGAGAGAGAGGAGGAGAGAACGAGAGGAGACGAGAGAGCGAGAGGCGAGAGAAAAGAAGAGAGAGAGAGACAAGAGAGAGAGAGAGAGAGAGAGAGAGAGAGAGAGCAGCGATATAGAGAGAGAGAGAGAGAGAGAGAGAGAGAGAAGAGAGAGAGAGAGAGCAGAGAGAGAGAGAGAGGACGAGAGAGAGAGAAAGAGGAAGAGAGAGCCGTGTGTGGGAACGTACGGCCCGGTTACTGTTGGAGAGTAAATAAGAATTATTAGAAATACGATGAACACTGATTTCAATTGTAATAAAAAGGCAAGCACATGTTAAATATACAGTTAACGCAATATTGGCATTAGCGATATCAGTGTGGGTTAGTTTCACAGTATTGGTTATATCATATAATTATATGAACATAATTGCTCCAGGTTCCACTACCCGCAAAAATATATGCGCGAAAAATGTATGACGCGGAAAATGTATGACGCGGAAAATGTATGACGCGGAAAATGTATGACGCGGAAAATGTATGAATTTCCTAATAAGGATTCCCGCGAAGTCTAGCCTTAGCAAACTCCGATGATTGAGAGCAAAGATACTTATTATGGCGGAGAGCATAGTTAGCAATGCAAAGACTTCGACAGTGCAAATCGTCCATGACCCACGGCAGATACTGACGCTGAACGTCGTCGTGCAGATGTAACGAGCCCAACTTGGAAAACGAACCTAAATTATACTGCGCTAGATATCGGGCGACCTATTACAGTAAAGGGCTACTCTCACTACCAAGTATAGCGTTTGAATTTGCTCGGCTGACTCCTGCTCAACGTGAATACCTCTGGCTGGTCGTAGAATAGAGGATCAAGGTTTATGCGCCAGGCCGCACAACTCGTGCCGATTGGCAGAAGACTGTTATATGGCGGCGTGGCGCCCCTAAGGTAGATTGTTAGTGTCGAGACGGACTCGAACACTAAATATACTGTCGTAGTAATTGGCAGCTATACACGACCTAATAATAGACTAGATGAGCGCGGCGGAGCTGAGAATGTAGATATACAGTCGGGCACCACGCACGCACCCGCGCAAGCGCGCACGCACGCACCAGCGCAAGCGCGCACGCACGCACCGCACGCACGCACGCACACACACACACACGCATGCACACACTCATGTACGCATGCACACACGCATGTACGAATGCACGTACGCACGCACGCACGCACGCACGTTGTCTGCATGTTTGTCTACCCGAATCACTCCCGCTCTTTATCTTCTGCGTGCCCCTTTTTTCTTGTCCGCTCTTCTCCTGTCAGTTTTCCCTAATTGTGCGAGCTTGCCGACATGTGTGCTTTGCGCTCTACTCCCCCAAAAGCTCTCTCCCACTCTCCCCATTCCTCTCCCTGACTTCCTCGCATTACTATCACTTTCAACTAACGATGTGCACTCGACATGCTGCATATTTCCGACGATAGCGCGAAGCAAACAGTCACGTGTTTACATTTGCGCGTCGAAGCAGACGATGACACGATCGCTTATTAATGCCAGCCGTCTCGCACGTGTTCTTGCGCGACATTCTCGCATCTGCGCATGCGCAGTGCGCCACGCCTGTCGGAGCTCCGATGGGAGTTATGGGGGCAAAACACACGCGCACTGACGTTTTTCTCACTATTTAATCAGCCACTAGCGATTAGTCGTGAGGCCGAGATCCGCTTTGGATCGACGGATGGGAGAAAGGGACGTCGCTAAAAAAACACCGCGTCCGCGCATGCGTGTGACTCATGCGGGGAGACTTCGTAACAGACTTCGTACCTAGGTTGGCAGATCTAAAGACAACTTGGCAAAGTGGGGGAT